TTTTTTAAAATAACACAGTTCTATGGTTGTACATACACCACCCACCTAAATATGTAGATACAATTTGCGCGTATAATCAAATTAAATTGGAAAAAACTCTTTTATCTCCTTGTTTCTTCTTCCTCCTCCTCTCGACCTCTCTCGACTATGCTAAAGCTCTCTCTCTCTCTCTCTCTCTAGCATGTTAGACAACTCTTCCTTTCTCCACCACATCCTTTTTCTTTTTCTTCTTATTATATTTGTGTTGATCGCGTAGACGTCACCTGCACATCTTGTAACCACGTATGTGATAATTGAATGTTTTATAAAACTGTTTTATTTTAGAAAATAAGTTTTTAATTGTGATAGTTTGAGTATATTTTTCTGAGAAAAAAATTACAAAATTTGTGAAATTATGTTTGTTTTAGATTCGTCATCATGGCGCCATCACCACAGTCCAGTCTACCTAATGTTCTGCTACCTAAGAGTTGCCTAAACAGATCTCCATTATTCTCTTGGCATTGAACTTCTGTCCTTGATCGAGAGGTCACTGCCAATACGTGAAAGTCCCATCCGCAAGCAGCACTATAATTTAGGTCCCTTGATCGAACTGTACAACATATGACGAACAAACACTTCTCTTATCCATTCATTTGGCTAGTTAAGAATACAGACACATAACAAATTGATGAGGACTCCCATATTTAAATTGAGATTGAATTTCGATGAAGGATAACTTTATGCGTAGACAGAAAGTATATTCTCTGAGTTTAGGGTTCATCATGAGTTAGACAAGAGATTGATATGTAAAGTCCAGATATATATTTTCAGGATTTGAATAATCTAAAAAATTTTAGGAACAAGACATGATGTTAATCAACTTAAAGAAAGATTTTTTTTTTATGTGGAGACCTATTAGATTTTTTGGAAAAAAATACCTGTATGTATTTTTGTCATTAGAAATACTAAAGGTATCTTTGAATCAGAGATTAAATCTTTTTTCTAAATGATTTTAAAAATATGTTTCCCATCAGAAGAATTTAATTATTAGTTTTATTTGAGTTTTGATTTTAAGATTTGAATCTAAAAAATTAAGAAAGAAAACAAAATCTTCTTAATCACCGGATTAATCTATTAAAATACATATATTATTTGTGAAATATTATATATATATATATATATATATATAATTCTGAAACTTCAAAATATAAATAGATGGATAAGTATGGGTATTGAGGCCTTAAAATAGCATATATTAAAACAAATGATACTGTTAATTGAGTACTCATTAGCCTGAGATAGAATTTCCATTCTTTATAAACTTTCTCACTTATCATGTAATTAATTAACTAATTAAATATTGGCCTCAAAATTATATGTGGAACCTAAAGCTTGGCTTTGTAGGTCCTTTGACTCATCACCATCCATGGAATTCATGATACAGTCCACGTCCTCTTTACATTCCCTATAAAACCATCCCCAGAGCTCCCATATTCAAATATCAAATCCAAAAACAACAAAAGCAAAACACAATCACCCCTCTCTTTCTTTCTTCCCCTAAGACTACATCGATCTCTTTGTTCTTTAAAACTGGAAACCAAGCAAGCAAGCCTGGAGGAGATCGAAGGAGAAAATAACAAGAGGGTTGTGGTAGCCCTATATGATGCCCTAGTCAACAAGGACATCGAAACGGCACACCGCTTCCTAGCACCTGACCTAGAGTGGTGGTTTCATGGTCCACCAATTCACCAGCAACATTTGATGAGCTTACTCACTGGCCAATCACCACCTTCATCTTCGTCAGTAAGACCGAACAAGAAGTCCTTCGTCTTTCACCCCCTTTCCAATGTTGTTTCCTTTGGATCAATGGTCCTTGTTGAAGGGTTTAACAAGGATTGGAATGTTTCGTGGGTTCATGCATGGACTGTCACAAATGGGATCATTACCCAAGTTAGAGAATACTTCAACACTTCTGTTACTGTCACCCGTTTTGGAGATGGAGGATCGTCATCACCGGCGATTAGCACTTCTCAGTTTAGGGCTAGTTGCCAAAGCGTTTGGCAAAGCAAGGTCTCTGATAACAAGTCTGTGCCTGGTCTTGTTTTGGCACTCTAATGAACGAATGTTTAGTTTTCGTGTTCCTGGACTGTTATTCTAAATAATATATGTATATAAGTACATATCTTAATTAATTATTAAATTACGTATAATCAATGTTCATGGTATCCTAATTCCTATTTCTTGTCAAAAATTTAAAAGAATATAACCCTCGTTTTCTTAGTTGTTTACACGTACTTATATATTATTTTTAATAGTTGAAAGTTTTATTAAAAAAAATTACAAAAATAATAACCTAACATGGAAGTGCAGTACAAGAGAGAAACAAAAAAATAATAAGAAATCAACTCCTCTTTACTTAATATTCTCTATTAAGCTCTAAAAAACTAAAATCAAATTTTAGCTATAAAGCAATATTTTCTGCATGGGCTCTTTTTAAATGGGGGCGGAGCCACCGTGGGCAAGAGGGGCAATTTCTTCTTTAATTTTATTTTAAAATATTTTTTATATTAATATAATAATTTATATCTTACAAAAAAAATTAAAATAAATGACGTGCCTAGAAAAAAAAATAACAACTTGAGTGTTTATATCTCAATAGTTTGTATCTTTTTATTATCTTTTTTTTCTTGTCAATTTATTTTTATCTTCTTTTAAATAGGCTGGTCTCTTTCTTTTCTTTTTTGATTTATTTGTATTGACTACATATATGTGTATTGTACCCATGTTTTGGAATTTCAAGATTACTATGATTCATGAATTTTTAGTGTCATTTTTCCCCTAATTTTCTAAATAACAAATTTAGTTGGGTTTATTTCATTTTTTTCTTCTCTTTCAAGAAAGTTTGATAATTTTAGACCTAAATTTTAATGGATAGCTAAAAAAAATAAAATTAGAGCTTATATTTTTTAGTTAAGAGATTAAGTAGTTTGCCAAACAAAAACTATATGGATAACTTGTTTTTTTTTTTTTGATGCAAACACAGAGTGCTTCAATATATTTGGTTAGTAATTTTAAGATTACTCAATGACTTTTTATTCATTATTCATTAGTTAGGAGCTGAAAAATTAATTTTCAAGTTTATAAACAGAATTCAATAACTTAAATATGAAAAAAAATGATTAATTTTTATTTTTTTTCATATTATCGCTACCAATTATTTATAGAAGAAAGTTATTAATTTGAAAATATAACCTCGAAAACATAATTAATTATCTAAAAAAAATATTATTTATATATTTTAGTTTACACAGCCACTAATGTTTTGTAAAATAAATAGCACTGAATAGGAAATCTAAGTGTGAAAATATGGGAGTGAAATATTAATTATCATAATTTTTCTATATAAACAAACCCTTCCTCCAATATATTTCACCACATTAGATAAAAACATCATGCTTAGCACATGTTTGGTATATAATTTTGATTTAAAATTTACCTTATTATCATAAAATAAAACAAATTGTACTTAAGTAAATATATTAGTGATCCTTCTCACCCCCTTCACCCTGCATGGTTCATGGAAAATCTCTTTTTTATTTGGCACCCTGTGCGGTCACTTTTTTTTATTGTTTTTAGCTTCTTATCTCTTTTTTTTTTTGGTAAATAAAAGTAATAATTTAGCTTCTTATCTCAAGTTTCTCAAGATATATATTTTTACTCTGTTAGACGACATTATTTGTTTTTTTTTGTTTTACTTGCTCATTTTTTGATGATGATGTTTCTTGTGTTATGAAATCTATAGGTTTTTTCTTTTACCTTTTTTTTTTAAATTTTTTTTTAATTGCAGTCAACTTTGCAACATGTTGCCACTTCTTCCTCAGCATATTTGCCCTAGAAAATGATGGACATTTTCCATCTAGTATAAACGAAATTTACTAGGATGTTAATTAACAAAGTCAACAATCTCCTGATTTCTATTGAAAAATCCATATTAAAAAAAGGTAGGAATGGAATTTAGAAATGGAAGATATTTATTTTCATCTTGGCAAATCAATTTAAAACTCAACTAACTTGAGATCAAAATAAATTTAGATTGAAGAAAAATAAAATAAACAAAAAAACTAGTTATTTAGATCAAAAATACAAATTGATTCGTTAACTTAATTGATTCAAGCCTAACTCAGTTAAAAACTGACCCTTAGCTCATTAATTTTTTTATTAAAATAATATTTTTTTAAATATATTTAAACTCATGACAAAGCTAAGTTCTATAACTATTAGAAAAACAACATTAGTAATTAATCTAGAGGATTGAAAGAGGCTCACTCCCATTCTATAATCCAAACTCTTTTCCAAGTTAATCCAAAAAAAATATTTTTTTATGGGAAATTATTATTATTATTATTAGTAATATTGTTTTATAAAAAAAATGTTAATAAAATTAAAAAGTAGAAAAAATCTGGTGTTTTCAAAGTTTAGCCCATGCTAAAGCCAGAAGCCCAAAACATAGTTGACTCCAGCCCAAAAACTGCAACCACTCTAAAAAGCCCAAATATATAGTTCGGGCACGGTCTGTCCTAAAACAGACTCTATTTCCCTCCCCTCCCCTTCCCTTTCTCAAAAACCCAAAATTTCTCAGTCCCAGTCTCAGATTCTCTCTTGCCTTTTTTTTTTTTAGCGAAGATGCTAACAGGAGACATACCACCGAACCAAACAATTTACGTTAAGAACCTCAACGAGAAGGTCAAGAAAGAAGGTATATTGTACTTGCTTTACTTTAACGTTCTTCCTGTTTTTCTTACCGAGTTTGAGTAACTAGAACCCTAAAAAATCTCAACTTCACTTTTTTTTTTTCTTTCTAGGCAATATATAAGTTGACCCATTTAAGCTAAAAGCAGTTTTAATTGATTTTTCTAGTAGATTTCTTGTTAGGGTTACTGAAAGTGAAATCAGGTTTAGAATTTTGGGGTGGAAGTATCTTAAAAGAGCTGTTAAAGGAAGATATTTGGTCAATGAGAAGTGGAGAATATGGTGATTTTTTTTTTGTGACTTTGAAGTATTTTAGCTTAATTGTGTTAGGTTTTTGACGGGTTTTTTTGGTGGGTAGAGTTGAAGAGATCACTTTATTGTTTGTTCTCTCAATACGGGAGGATTTTGGATGTTGTTGCTTTGAAGACGGCAAAGCTTCGAGGGCAAGCATGGGTTGTGTTTAGCGAAGTGACGGCTGCAAGTAATGCTGTGCGGCAAATGCAGGGTTTTCCATTTTATGATAAACCTATGGTACGTTTTGAGATGCTTGGTCAGTAAGTCTTCAACTCTTTGTATTTGATAATGCATCAGCTATGGTATGTTATTTCAATTCCTTTTTTAAGTTTGTGTAATGTAAAGAATTTTATGTTTTATCTTCTTCACGTTTTTAAGGACACAATTTTGATGGATTATTAAGTTGTCTATACAATTGATTGATTTGCAACTAGTTTTGGATGTGATTTTGTGACCGTCAATTATAGCCTTTGTGCCTATGCTGTTCAGTTTTTGTTTTGGTTTCATCATCAAGCTTTTGTTTCTTGTCATGGACAAGCATGAGAGGGGAATGGTAATTTTGCACTAGCTGTCTTCTAAAACTATGGTTGGAAAATGAATGGTTCTGGTTGAGTGACCTGTAAGAGAAGCCATGAGATTTTTTGTGGTTAATAATGGGGCCATTGTGATTCTTAAGCTAATAGTTCATTATGTAATGGAAACAAGAAGAAAAAGGGAAAGATTGTGATGTCTTATATGAAGTTTCAATTATGTCCTTCATGGAATTATATTATTTTTCACCTAATAAAATGGTCATAGTTGTGTGATATATTTTATTTTAGTGTAATAAAGAACGGAGAATCATGCATGTCCTTAATTGACTGCAATTTGATTAAAAAAATTGACCATTGTACTCGTTGAAGCATGCATTCATCGAAGACGGTTATTCTGTGTATTTATGAATGATACCTTCATTTAGAATCTTAATCAAATTTCTATTTCTGCATTCTATCTTTGTTCCTACTAAATTTTCAATGTGGTAATGTATCTCATTGATTTGGTGCAGCGAATCCAATATGCAAAAACAATGTCTGATTGCATTACAGAAGCAGAAGGAGTCTATGATCCAAATGCAAAGAAAAAGAAGAAGAACGAAGAAAAAGGTGAGTGCAACTAACTAGCAATTTATACTTTTATCTTTATTAGACTGGCATGTATATGAAATTGACCATTCAAATGGAACTCATTACTTTATGTCATAAAAAATTGACCATTCAAATGGAACTCATTACAATGAGTCAGGAAAATAGCTTTGCATTAGGAAATTATAACAAAGAAATATGTTTGAATTGTCCTATGTAAATGCAGTACTGAATGGAAGTAATAGAAATATCCAGTTGGCCATTTCTTTTGACTGCTCAAAAAGGTTGGAAGAGCCATATTTTGAGCAAATTCTTTGTGAAAGAGTCTCCCACTGCTTGCTATGTTTTGCTGAAACTACATCATTTAATGGTTGATTCAGTTGTCTAGTTCCTCACTCAAGCATATGACCAGCCTAAGGAAATATACATGGTTCAAATATAATCTTTTACGTGATTATATTATTGTAAAATTGAAACCAAATACCAAACTTGAAGCAAGCACTGCCCCTATGAATTTGGTGCTGATACCATGATTTGCATGTTTCAGTGGATGCTCCTGTGTAAATTTGGTGGTTTGGACTTCTAGGGTTACGGTTTTAATGGACAAAATCAGAGGAGAAACAAGTTATGTCTGTGCCAAAAGTTCTGGATATCTAATGTATCGTTTTCTAATAACTTTTGACAACTTAGAAAAGAAAAAAGTAGAGAAGTTTTCGGGTAGTGCCATGTCTTATTGAAATGGGATTTAAATTTTGCAACAAGACCAATGTTCTGTTTTGACTTACTGTTAAATGGATTATGTTTTAATTTTTATTCAGTGATGCTCCTGCTATTCTATTATCTGCAAATAATTTAACACATGTTTTCCTCTTCAGCTGAAAGAAAAAAACGTGCTGAAGAATCCCAGCAATCAGCTCCAGCTAATGGTAAACCTGCTGAAAGTAACGGGGGCCAGGTAAGTCATATTTTATGCTTTTCTCTACCATATTAACTTGCACACTTGCATACATGTTAATGCTCTTAAGAGTTGGGCAAATACTTAGGTCATGTGTGAAGTATTCACATGTTTCGTTTGCATGACAATGAGAAGTGTTGAAGATGATTGCATGATAATTGTTTGAAGCAGTCAGTGTGCCATTGATGTATTGATCTCATTACTGGGATTAATGCACCTTTTGTGTGTATTTCATCTGTTCACCTCAACTACTTATTTTGGAAAAGAGGAGGGAATTCGCCTATTTTATTTGATCAATTCTTGCTTATTATGTCCTGTCTGTGTCTATGATGTGTAGACTTCTTTCCGCCAAGGAAACCAGGGTGCACAAGAAACAGCTCCGCCAAATAATATATTGTTTATTCAAAACTTGCCCCATGAAACCACTAGCATGATGTTGCAAGTGCTCTTCCAGCAATACCCAGGATTTAGGGAAGTCCGAATGATTGAGGCAAAGCCAGGTATTGCATTTGTGGAATTTGAAGATGATGTGCAATCCTCCATGGCCATGCAGGCCCTTCAAGGTTTCAAAATTACTCCCCAGAACCCCATGGCTGTTACCTATGCCAAGAAGTAACCGGCCTTTGTGATGAAGCAATTGCCTCATTCACTTCTTGCCTCAAATGTTACTCGTGGTTGGGATGATTGAAGAGTTTTATGAATATTGTAGTGATGTAGAATTTTGAAAACTAATTGTAGAATTTCACTTCCAATTTGATTGATGTTTCACTACTCGTTGTTTATATCCTATCTAGTGATGTTGCCGAGTGGTGAGGGCAACTTCCATATATATTTTTATTCTCAACTCGTTGTTTATGCCATATCTGGCGATGTTGCCAATCGATGAGGATTAAAAGTCTTCTACTCTTATCATTTATTTTTACAGCAAGATCATGGCCTTATATTTTGAGAGTAGGCATCTTCCTTAGTATGGTTCAGAACTTTTGTGTCGTCGGATTCTGATCCAACTTGCAAAATAGGAATGGAAATGGAAGCTAAAGAACTTGTAGTTGAAATTGATGTGGAAAACACAATTAGGGTTTCACCAAAACTTTCCAATGTCTCATTGATGATTCTTTCCGTTGTATATGTGTGTCACTAGCAGAAAAGAAAAGCATGGCTCTTCCAGCTATGGCCATAATTTAGCCGGGGAGTCTCATATTGCGAATGGAAGATTTGGTCACCTAGCCTGCAATTTGAAGAACCTTGTATTGGATTTGGAGTGGAAGGGTCATGTTTGACATTCAACTAACTTAAAGTCATCCACATGTGACCTGTCGGTGATAAGAAAATTCTTATAGAACACCCATTTTCAATGGATGAATCTTGTTGCAAAATCAGGAAAACTGATTAGGAGTTTAGAACAATACAAGTTTTATAACCGAAGCTAAAGAAAATACATCAAACCAAATCTAATCCCTCTTGTCCAGCAAAGATGTGGCCTTCTCTGTAAATGCATAAACAAGTGACTAAGGACGAAGCCAAGAATCCATGAAAAAAAAAAACCAGCAGTGGAAATGGAAAACCAATAACATGCAATGGCGCCAATGGATTTGCTTCTACCAAATCAATACCACACAAGTAAAAACCTCTCAAGTTTCAACAGGGAAGATAACAAAAAAGATTCATAGAGAGATGGAAAGGGAGAGATGTCTAGGGTAGGCCGCTCAGAAAAGGCATTTCCCAAGCTTTTTGGGTGCTCCAATTGATGGTTCTCCCCACCTCTTTCTATGGAGCAGAAAGGCAAAGAGCTGTTTGCCTCTTGTTAAAACTCAAAGGGACATCTATTCCCAGAAGCTTCAGAGGCCATACAGCGAAAGGTTCATTCAAAGAGCTCATCACGATAAGTTGTCTTTTGGCTGGTTTTTAAGTGGATTTGGTAACGTGGTGTAAATTATATTAAATGTGTTAATATTAAAAATAATTTTAAAAAATAAAAAAATATTTTAATATATTTCTAAATAAAAAATATATTATACCATAAACGCTACTATAATTTTAAATCATCCAAATGTTAACACTACAGGATTAGATAACTAAGGTTAATTTTTTATTCATATCCCCTTATTTTTTAAGTGGATTTAAGGTTATATTAGATCCAGTCGGATTATCTGATTTTAGCAAAATTAAAATCTAACTAAGTCCAATGAGTTTTATAATTTTTAAATTGATTTTTATAATTTTTAAACTGATTTAATTAGTTTTTTCTCTTGATTTGATATTCTTATTTATTTTTATATTTTTATATATTAACACACTCTTTTGAACATTAGATTAAATTTTATGAGTTTTTCTTTTATTTTTTCATTCAAATTTAATGTTTTAATCAATACTTATATTTTAATAATTTATAGTTTTGACATGATAATACGTATCATATCATGGGTTAGGAACCTAAATGAGTCTTGTATTTAAAAATAGTTTTAAAAACTTCATTAAATACTATGATTCTGAAGAAGTAAGTTGTATTTAAAAGATAATTCGGTAATTAATATTTGAAACTTTAACTGGGATATTTCATGTTTTAAAAATTATTTTAATGTAGAATATTTTTTAAAAAATATTTTTCATTTTAAAATGTTTCAAATAATTTTTTTAATTTTTTTACATCAGCATATTAAAATTATAAAAAAAATATTAATTTAATATTTTTTTAAATAAAAGCACACTTTTAAAACATATATTAAAGTAAAAATACGGCACTCACGAACGCTCACTGAATTAAATAGGTAGTTCAACAAGAGAAAAGAATTAATGTAGTCCTCTAAAAATAAAATAACACCAAAAAATCTACTATATAGACTGTTTATTGTCGCAAGTCAACTTCCCCAAGGACTCCAGAATCTCCACCAGCTGTACCAGTGTTAACCGTTACCCCTCATACAACCTTTCCTTAAACTCCAAAAAAAAAAAATCCTTTAAAAATCTTGCACACTCTTTTCCACCCATGAAAACAAACAAGAAAACCACTATGCAAGCGCCCCCAATGGTTGGTTTTCTCGCTGAAGAAATCATCTTTACAATCCTTGACTATCTTAACAATGACCCTTTTGCTAAAAAGTCTTTTTCTTTAACATGCAAAACTTTGTACTCCATTGAAGCTGACCATAGGAAGACTCTTAAGCCGCTTAGAGCTGAGCTTTTATCAAGAGCCCTTCATAAATACCCTCATATTGAACATCTTGATCTAACTCTTTGTCCTCACATTGAAGATAGCATGTTGAATGTTGTTTCTTTGTCATGTAAGGATGTTTTGTGTTCTATAAACCTGTCAAGGTCAAGGTTTTTTACTAATATTGGGTTGGCGAGTTTTGTTTCAAGGTGTTCTAATTTGGTTGAGACTGATTTGTCTATTGGGGTAGAGTTGAATAATTTGGCTACTGCTGCAATTGCTGAGGCTAAGAAATTGGAGAAGTTGTGGTTGGCTAGGTGTAAGCTGATTACTGATATGGGGATTGGTTGCATTGCCGTTGGGTATAGAAAGTTGAGGTTGGTTTCTCGAAATGGTGTTTGAAGGCTAGTGATCTTGGTGTGGAATTGCTTGCTTTGAAATATAAGGATATGATGAGGAGTTTGGATCTCTCTTACTTACAGGTAATTTGATGTCTTTCTTTGTCTATTTTGGTTTCTGTTCTCTGTTTGTTTTCCGAGGAACATAAAGGAAAGAAAAACTCAAAAGCTTCTTGTTGGATTGTTGTTTGTTTTTACTTCCTTCAATAATTGATCTTTGTTGAAGTTATTATTAGGACAGTACATGCTTTTGATGTTGTTCTGTTATGTAACTGTGGTGTTTTTACTTCCAATCTGATGTCACAATGTTTCCTTTGACTTGGATTTAAGTACTGATAAGAATTTAATTGTCAGCAATGTGATTTCTTGCCACTTGGGTTGAAATTGAAGCTTGGCTTTTTGATGATTTGAACCCTTGCTGCTGTTTCCCGACGCATTGTTTCTGTTTAGAGCACTAATCAAGTCTATGATTGGGAAAATTCTAATCTTAGTGGGACAATATTTGATGGTCAGCATTCCTGAAAAGTTGTTTCAGAAGATTCAAGAATTAGGTTATGCCCCATGACAGTTTGTCTGAATTTATTAATTTGTTTCTTCAGCTATGTTTTATGGTGGACAATAACTTCTAGAGAGGTTTAATGTTTGTTGACTAAAACTTGGTCAAAAAAGTTGCACGTGATATAAAGTCCATGCAAATGTAGCTACGAAGTGAGAATCTTTTGGTAAAGTCTCCTCTACACTGTACAATTGATTGGCGCTTTTTAAGGAATTTACCACTTTAGTTAATCATACAGTATTATATGGTGGATTACTGCCTCGCTAATTCTAATCAGCCTCCTAACAGTTTTGTCTCAAATTGTGGTAATTAAAATGCAATGCAGGCAGTTTTGAGAACTCTAAAATGATTATGAGTTTGTTTGCAGATTACAGAGAATGTCTTCCATCTATTTTGCAATTGCAGCATCTTGAAGATCTAGTCCTCGAGGGATGCCTTGGTATTGATGATGATGGCCTCTCAACTCTTCAACAGAGTTGCAAGTCACTCAAGGTGCCTTTTCATATAAGTTAGTTCTGCGTTGTTTGCAGGGTTGCAAATTTTGATGCTGTTTGTTGCTCTTTTTTTTCGTTGAGTTTGTTACCAACTCATGGAGGAGCGAAACATTTGAATTCCAGAATTGAATGAATTAAGTCGAAATTGTTTTCTTTTATTGAGTTCCTAGGCGTGAATTCTTACGGTAGTCCATTTCACTCGCCCATTTCGCGCAGGGTGTTTGATATTCAATCAACAATTTCTCCAATTTTACAAATCTTTCAGACACTTGATATGTCAAACTGCCAGAACATTAGTCATGTGAGCTTGTCATCTCTGATAAGCGATGCGGAAAACCTAGGAGAACATACTCTAGCTTCTGTTCCTACTGTGAGTCCAATATCTAAAATATCTCCTGGATGTTTTTGGTTCGCATGAAGGTTCATTATTAATACTTGATGATGGTTCAGGTTACAGCTAATCTAGCAAAATGTTTGCAGAACTTTTCGGGGCTGCAACCAGTTAAGCTGGATGGCTGTGTGGTTAAATGTTCTGGCATTAGAGCCATTTGGAAGTTGGCCTAACTCGGTCTAGGAATTGAGCTTCAGTAAGTGCTCAGGAGTGGATGTCCTGAACTGGA